ACCTTTTGAGGTCCGGCGTTCAGCAAATCCTCCCGTTGGTGAAGTCGCCAATGGCGTACTCGGACCGGAGACATTGTTGCTGTCAAGGCCTTTTAGCGACAAGGCCGTGGGCACAGCGGTGAGGGTGGCGAGGCTTGCAGAGGTCCTCTCCCCGACTGCCTCCGGCCCATTTTGACTAGTGTAGAGCCAGTGCTCAGGCAGAGGGTGTGCCGACTCTTTGGAGGAGGCCGAAAGAATCGCTGAGGAACCCAACTCCAGGCTACAGACTCGATCTGGATGCATTACGCCGTACAGGCTCAAAAGGCCCTTCTCATCAGCTTCTGTGGAAGGGAAGTGAGGGACATCAGGAGAGCATTTACATTTAATTTACGGCATCAGTAGTAGTAGCAGCGGTGGCACAGTAGTGGTAATAATGGAGTAATGGTAGTGTGGGTATAAGTAATAATAGGAATATTAGAAGAAAAATTAGTATACTGGAAATAATAGGAGTCGTAATACATCAGTAATTTTAGTATTAGTGAGACTAGCAGTAAGCTATTGGCAGCACAGCAGCAGATTAGTAGCATAGCATTATCAGTAGTGGAGTAGAGTGGGAAGTACTTGAATGGCAGCGGTACAGTAGAATTAACATTAACAGTAAGAGTACACAACTATTGGTAGTAGAAGAAGCATAATAGTACCGTAGCAGAATAATTGTACACATATGGTAGAGTAGCGATATAAGTATTAGTAATAGTAGTGGTGGAATGGAAATGTGGAGTTGGAATATTAGTAGTAGTGACATACTAACTGCAACATAGTAGTAGCATAACAAAGATGATGTCGCGGTGATAGAGGTGACTATCTGTACCTAAGGGGGCGTTTCTTTGGGTTACAAGTAATCATTTTGCCGCAGGTTTTTTATTAGGGGGTTTGGCAGATTTGATTAAGTCAGATGACCCAACTGTGAAACATTCGTGGCCTCGGTTGGATCCGAAGCCACACCACAGGGAAGGCTTTTGTACAGCTAACGCTCTATCATTGAGCTACGAAGGCACGCCGGGGCTGAATGTAATTACGCTTGGGTGGATTTGTTAGGGCCCAGCTTGATGCAAAGTGCACAAAAGTACATGTAACGACGCGCACAGCGCGGCGACGCAGGACTCTAATGCAAGCCAGACAACCGGTCCGCCCACACACAACGTGCATTGTGTTACGCCGCGCTCAGCTACAGCCGGCGGAAGACTGACACGCCAAATCTCATGACTCACCCAGCCAATTAAGTCATGC